CTATCAGTTGTCGCCAGTTTCATGCCACACAGTAGTCAGTGAAGTACATGAAAATGGATCCGTGTATATTGTATTTGTGCTATAAAAAAATATGTAATAGAAAACGTAAGAGGCGATGGGCAGTACATCCAATTAATAGAAATAGAATTCAATTGCGTCCATTGCATCCATGTCCCGCTTGATCAATAGCTAAACTAAAACTAAAACAAACTGTGCTAAAACTATTCTTGACAGACAGAGCCACTGGACTTGCGACAAAGAGCGCTTTGCATAAAAACGCCGATATACTTTCGTGCTTTTTCGGAACGCGTGTCGCCAAGCGTTCTGTAAAGCCATCGCGACAGAATTGAAAACGCGAGAGCAAATAAACGAGCGTAAAATGCATAAACGTAGTAACTCTATTCAGGGTATCTTGAAACGCGGCGTTTTTGTCAACTCCGCGTTGAGAGGAGAAAAACGCGTGCATAAAAGAGGTCTTAGTGACACATCAAAGCGATTTGCGCATCATTTATCGCATTGATGTGGCTACGCTAGCATTGTCTATTGCAACGCATTAGAGCTTCGAGCATGATTTAATACATTTACATAAAAATTGAGTGGTCTAACGAAAAAATAATAGTTTTTAGAATTGTTTCAAATGAATCCTAGACAAAAAACATAAAATAATTGACGCTCATATAATACAACTCAGCGGCCTCAATCTCCATGATGAAATTATTTTATCAAATAACGCGTTATTTATTGAGTAGACATCAAACACAATCTATTATTTTTAACGCCATAATCATCGCGATAATGGACGTTTATCGTTAACGTACGTGTGGCCCCAGCATTAATTGTAAACAATGCTCAAAACCATTAGTATCTGATTTTTTATTTACAGTTACATAATTATGTGCTTGAATGCATAGTATTTCACTAATAAGTCTTATTTAATAATTTGTCTCACTAGTCAAATATTGTTCCTAGAACAATCCAAAACAGTTTCTAAACAGTCGGCCGCATGGGCATTCCGATGTAATACCTACCTACATTGCGTCTGACTCTTGAAAATTGTTTCTAATGCACTAGGACAAAGCTAGATTTAATATTTTTTGCTGGTGTACATTTTCTTCTGGAATGTATTTTTTTATTCTTGTGATAATAATTCCAGTATAATAATGTTTTAAAATATACTGCGTTTTCTGTTTCTCACTAATAAATACCCGATTTAATCTCACAAACATCGATCATGATTTGTTATAAATTATTAAATTAACTTGTGGACGTTAAAAATTCTTTCATGTTTCGTTAATAAAAAAAAATAATTTAATTCCCATTTTTTTGTTTTAGGAAAAGTTAAGGTGAACAACGTTCAAATAGCAACTCAAAACATACCAACAACGAATGGAGTGATACATGCAATAGACGCCGTCCTATGATTAAACATTGAACCACCTTAATTACTTACCTATAGTTAGTCATCTATAGATTGTTCAATTTATTGATCATTCATTTCACTGTACACGTTTTATACTCGGTTTTATACATACTATGCTCTACTTTCAGTTTTTGTAATATAGTATTTTGATAAGGCTGATTTTGTTAAAATTAACAGTTTATGTTTTGTGTCACATTAAGTTTGTATTGTACATTATAATATATTTTATTTAATTATTGTATATTTAAGTAATTTTATCTTGTAATATATTATTTAATATAGTAGTTTATTTATTAAAATATTTGCACTAACATAACGTACCTATATGTGCAGCTACATTCACCCTGAAAATTTAATTTCCTCACACCTAGAATTAGATGTTACCACTGTTCCCCGTTTTTTTTTACTTTGAAAAGTCAAGTAATAAATAATTGGGACTTCTGGCAAAAGTTTTAATGATATGATTTATCTATATTTTTTAATTTAAGTACCTATACTAGAATTTAAATAAAACTACAAAATAATACAATATGTAAGTTTTTTAAATTACACGTTTTTTATTAGGTCATTTTTATTCGCCTTATAATCAACCAATACTAAAGGTCTTTCCAACAGAAAATCACAAATCGTCCGGCAACTGTATTGAATGCACATTTCTAGTCCAAACTTCGTTGAGAACTAAACTGCTGGAACGAATTTATGACCGTATTTTCATTTTTGGGCAAAGTTCGATGTACAAATAAATGTAACAGCTTTTCACCATCACTCCCTTGCAGCTTTGAAATTACACTATCATTTCCAATACTACTTTCTTCAGAATCCGACATTATTTTAGTAACACTATGTATAGCAGTTTACTGGAAAATTATTGCAATGATGCAATAGACTCTTTGAGTGTGACGTCACATATTTGATTGTACAGACCGAATCTGACCTTTGTGTACTAATTTATTTTTACAACCAACACGTGTTTCGTAAAATAGATACACTAATGTGCTTAAAATTTACAAAAAACGGTATAAAAGAATATTCCTAAATTTAAATAAAGTAAAAATTTTACATTAGCCGTGTTATTCCTAATGCTCATGCTCGGAAAGAATAGCTTCATACGCAGGTGAGATCTTGTTGCGTATTTTCTCTTGTTTTGTTTAATCTTAGCATTTTCTAGTTCTACTAAGTATTTTTATTGTTTTTCTTGATGTTGTACTGTCAGTGTGTTTATCGAGTGATTTTTTCTTCAAGTGGTTTACTATTGAATAGACGTACTCTTAACCACAATCAAACCTTTCTTGAATGATAGCCTGATGCGAGGCTACTTCGCTTACATGAAATTATCTTTTATGCGCATGCTCAGTAACATTGATACAATTTTAATTTATTAATTACTATAAAAGTCAATATAAATATATAAATTCTATAATTCTATTAGTTTGTCACTTGGGGTTTGAAACTTCTTAAATATTTCTAATATTGCCAGAAAATCGCAATATTAATAGGTCATGACAAAGAAGCTATTTTTTTGGCATTTATGTCCAAAGTACATAAGGTCGAAAATCGATCTAGTAAGAATATCGAGAAATTTTTCATGACAATGTGCACTATGGGGTTGTCTATTATTTGGCATATGTGGCATCACTACTAAAAAGGTCTATTAAAAATTTTAACGTCACGAAACATCTAAAAAGTTAGAGGTTATAGACGGATGACGGAAATTTTGAATTGCATTATTTGTAATACGCGCATGCATATAATGCATAATGCGCATGCATTGGAACCAGTCAAAATAATCCGGAAAAATTCTACTTGTTAACCAAACCGTTTGCAACTGCAAGAAATGGCTGCTGCAACATCAAACTTTCTACAAGAAATTGTGTGGATTATTTGCTGGAATGAATTTACAAAACAGCGCATGCGTCTGGTCGTTCAAACCAGTTTCTGATCGCTTCTGGAAAAAAACCTTATTATACCTACAGGGTGTTTCAGGATTAAGTCGACAAACTTTAAGGAAATATTCCTCATAAAAAAATAAGAAAAATCAAGTATAATTTTTTTCCAGACGCTTCATTTTCGAAATATAGGTCGTTAAAGATTTTTTAAAAATTCGAATTGTTTAAATAACTTCTAAATGAAGAAGGCTATTTAAGCCAAATTTGACATGACACATCTTCTTATAAGATACCATTTTTTCATAGAAGTAGAAGTCCCGAAAGCAACCAGTGGCGGAGTTATGGGGACTCATTAAATTATAAAAAAAATAATACGATCCTACTGAAAATAAAAAATGATGCTGTTTTTAGATAGAATAACAAATATTGACAAAAAGTGTACATTCAATTTTTTCCTAACTCTCATAGTTTCATGGCAAAATTGATTTTTCGGAAGGGTGTTTCTGGATTCTGTCGATAAACTTTAAAATGAACCTCAACAAAAATTTTCGAGTAGCCTGCTGTCAAGCAATGTTAATTTGACGTTTTAAATGTTATTTTGCGAATTGTTGCATAAATTATCCATTAGATAGCGTTCAAACTAATAATAAAAATAAGTTTAATAATGCCGTCCATATTTTCGAACAATGAATATGCTGATATGGTCTTTGTATATGGTTTTTGTGATGGAAACATTTTCAACGACATTCAGTCGTCTCGGACAAACTGGGTCTTTCGGTATTCCAACTTATGCTGATGGACATTTTGCCCCACTTCAGAACGAAGTAAGATCGAATACTATTTTAAACCATTTCGATGAAAATCCATCCACGAGTGTCAGAAGATCTAGCTATGGCTAAGTGTTTCGTCAAGTTCCATTTGGAGGACTCTTCGGGCTGATGGACGCCATCCAGCGTGTGCAACATTTATTGCCTCAGGACATACGATACAGGCGCGTGTTTTGTGACTGGATGTTAAACCAAGCAGAGAATGATGATCAGTTTACGCAAAAAATAATGTGGACAGATGAAGCAACATTTACTCGAAGGGGAATTTTAAACCAAAGGAATAACCATATTTGGTGCTACGAGAATCCACGGGCGGTAAGGGAACATAATTTTCAGCATGAATGATTGGGTGTGTTGGACAACACTATAGTTGGTCCCTACTTCCTTCCGCATCGGTTAAATGCTGACATGTTTACCGAGTTCCTTGAAAATGGTTTTCAAGATCTGTTAGATGTTCCGCTTAATACTCGAATGAACAGTTGGTTTCAACTAGATTGTTGTTCTGCCTATGTTGGTAGAAGTCCTAGGGAGTGGTTAAACATTAGTTATCCCAGGAGATGGTTTTATCGTGGAGGACCAGCAGCGTGGCCCGGACGTTCATCGAACTTGACACCGATGGATTATTTCGTTAGAGGTGCTGTTAACCCTTAGAAGCACCATCAAACACCGTTATCTTTTACCTATGGTGCACGTAAAAAATCAACTCGTGATTTTTTTATATTAAACACGTTTATTCAAAAAAATATTACATATTATAACTTAAAACTATTTTTTAAACTTAATCCTACTCTCGATAAAGTGGTGGGGGGGTGGTACAAATTTTGGACCACTATGCCTGAAAGTTAATTTTGCTTTTAGTGAAATATATATATCATCTTATTTTAAATTCTTACCTTTTGATGGTATTGTTGGAAACATGTCCTGGACTTTGACAAACACAAAGGTACCTTGCACACTGAACAGGTCCACTCTGTTCGTATCTGAATTTGCTTGGTGCTACATACTGCACAGCGTCTTCTGGTGCTTCTTTCGGGCTGATTAGCTGAACTCTCCAATCTAATTTCCAAGGACACGGTTGGCTTATGTTTTTTATGCATAGCGGAGAACTAATCCTAGTGGTTTTAAGGTGTATCAGCTTCTCAGCAACTAGTCCACCAACTACGGCCCTTCTAAAATCTTTATGAGATATCTGTTGCCCATTTAATTTATATAGTATATATGAGTTCACTATACAAATGTCAATAAAATGAAAGAATATACGATGCCACCATTTATGACTTCGTCGATTCAGTCCAAAGTTAGATTTAAGTTGGTCCAATTTATCCACAAAACCCATATTCATATTATAGTACAATAAAGTACGGGGACAATTTACATCTTCGATTTGCCCATTTCGCGACTTCCTTCTGGCTGTTGAGAAAATTTGAGGATCGTGATAGTTAGAAAGTAGATGTACACTTCTTTTGTCTTCCCACTTGAAAATTGACAAACCAGTGTCACTTACTTTCCAGTCGGTGTCCCCACGTTTTAGTTCTTTTTCTGGTCTCATTTGTGGAATATTTTTCCTATTGAAAAAGACTGTACCACATGTCCAGATTGAGTCGTTTTTTAAATCTAAAAGTAGTTTGTAAGAACAGAAATAATTGTCTATAAATAGACGATGAATTTTATGTTCTAAGCCTCTCATCAAGTCTTTGACCACTCTTTCTCCTAAATTTTTCTCCGCTTTATCTCCTACCTTTCCCGTATAAATCTGAAACCTGTACAAATATCCGGATTGATCAGCGAGACACCAGACCTTGTAGCCTCTTTTTATGGGCTTTTTTGGTAAGTATTGCTTGATAGAACTCCTACCTTTGAATCGAATCATAGATTCGTCTACGGCTAGCTTTTCTTGTAGTTCATAGCACCTTTCGAAATTTTCAGAAATCTTATTAAAAAAAGTGCGAACCTTGTATAACTTATCATAGTTTGGCTGATCTCTATCAGGCATAAGACTATTGTCACTGAGATGGATATGGCTGAGTAGCCATCCAAACCTGTTTACTGACATTAATTTGCTTATATATTCATCATGGAGGTCTGGGCTAGAACTTCAGTAGTCTGAGTAGTCTCTGTAGCTGGGCAAAGGTTTTATGCCCATCAAAATGTTTATTCCCAGAAAGATCTTAATTTCGCAAACATTCGTTTGAGTAAACCGCTTGCCTTCTTGCGTCGCGTCGCATATAAGTTAGTCTGGAAAACAATGTAATTGATAATGGCATCCGTAATAAGGGAATTAAAATATTTATATGGCGTTGAACTTTCGATGCTTTTGACTACATCTGTTGGCCCCCCTCGGTGAGTGAACTGGGGATCGACATTTACCCAACCACATTTTTTCCAAACAGGTAGATGAAATTCTTGTACATCTGGCCGGTCTCTGATAATTTGTTGACGTAAAATGGAAAGTGGTATATCGTCTTCCTCCAAATCTTCAGTATCGTCATTCGGTACATCAGAATCATCTGAAATTAA